ATATATATATATACATATATGTTGTGTGTGTGTGTATAAAATAAATTCTGCTTTATAACTGTTTACAAATAATATTAAAAAAAATATTCAATGTTAAACAAATATAAATATAATACAAATATAATACAAACTAATAGTAGATCTTTAAAATTTTAATTAATTCGTATTTGTATTTAGAAAAATTTAAATGGGCATGCAATTTGTGATTGCATTTGTGATTGCGTTTATTTGCTCATTCTCTGAAATTTGAATTATCTTTTTGTAACGTGTTTGTTTCGGGCGAAGAAGCAGATAGTGACTCGCTGGCTAAACTTGGCAGCAAAATCTAGGAATTCGAACAGCTCTTCATTGTGTCCACGTATTGTTCTGCAAATTGCTAAACCAGATAGTTGTTATCAGTTTAGCACAAGTTTACAATCTGAGAACAAGTTTTGGAAAATGGCGCGTAAAAAGATTCAGCTATATGAATGTTAATTTATCGCTGTATATATTTATCATTTTAATTTTATCTTATATTGTTATATTTTTACATCTGAAATACTTCAATGAGAGAATATTTCGCTAAATGTATTGTATCTAAAGAGAGAAAAACATACGCTATATATATATATATATTCAGTCACGATTGTAATTAATCCGAATATGTGTCGGATTTTACTGCGAGGGCTGATGTGAGCTTTGTGCGCAAATTTCGCCATCGTTGTCCGCTGAGATTGACTAAATTCGTAGTAAGCGGATCAACGTGTTCGTTTGCTGTTATCTCACGACCTAAATAGGACTATTGATAATAAATAATTAACAATCGTATTCATTTGTTTACATGGTTGCAATAATCACTGTTATGAATGTCGCATTAAAATTTTATTACTTGTCAGCCGGAAAATTAAGATTACTAGTACTCTGATCATAATTTAAAAAAGAGATGAGTTGTTTTCTACACAAAATAAATATTTTTAAAGTCGATAGGTTTTCAGATTAAGATAATTATTTGATAGAAATTCATGTTTCATTAATGCTGAAGCGTATGTAAGGCAGTTAAATTGGAGCATAATTGCATATGTCAAAAGTGACATCTTAATTACAAGTTTGATCACGCATCTTTGTCATGATCTTCCATAAATGTCATATAAAAGATGTAAAGCTTGGAATCCTCAGAGGAAAAATATAATAGAAGAAAAATAATTTTCTACAATTTTAATACTTAATTTAATTTATGTAATATCAAATTTCCAGTATATGTTCAGGCTTTTTGTGATTAGTATACAAATAATTTTACGGATTCTTCGCGATCGCAGGATGCGTGATTTAATCCACGGACCTTGATAGATTAGGCGAAGCTAAATATTCAGATCTGTATTCTGAAAATAACTTGCCATAATGTAGTATAACGAGTTTTGTCTATTATCCGCATGTCAAACGAGTTTGAAAGAACTCTGCTTTTTTTCCCATAAAAGAAGTTAAGAATTAAGATTCTCTGTTTAAATATGTAAATTTTTTATTTATTAAAATTACAATTAAATATCTCGATCAAGGTCTCTTTTATATGATATTAAAACTTTCTGTCTTCTATAGATTCTATACATTTATACACACAGATAACAAATTATTATAAATTCTTTTACACATTTTGATTCAAATTTTTCGTGCGTACTTTCTAAATCTTGAATTATTTTGCGACACGACGGATTAAAGGTGAAGCTTTCTCTTGTACGGATACAAAGCGAGAAGTTGAGCTGCAAGCATCACCGAAATTACGCGGACCACCGCCCGTGTTCTTCCAGTATCTTGCGTAATAAATCCGCGTCGGCCGGACCGCAGCGGATCCGGC